ACAACTTCTTTCTTATTACTAGCAAGCTACCTCTACTCTTTCTCATCCTCAAATTATATCTAGCTGGAAATCTATCCAAGTAAACTGACTTATCTTGCATTCCCTGCTTCACAGAGATGAGAAGCAAAGTAAACTCATGTTCTATAATGACTTTCTGTCATTCTTAATCAGATATAATTAGATAGATTCAAGACCTTTTTGAAGGCTAATTATATCTTGTACACTCTAGACATCAGCTGCCCTTGTTATATGTTGTGCATTTTTGTTTTCATTTCCTTTCCCTCTGCTGTCTGCCTGCAGAAGCAGATTCGGTTTGACTTTCAGTACTAATTAGGAAGAGGAGAGGAAGGTATTCTCTCAGGTATCTGTGCATATAGCATTTCTCTGTAGGCAATGTGTATAGACCCGAAGAACTGCTTGTAAACCAAGTTGTCATTGGAATGATTTTAGTGGCACTAAACAGTTATTTTTGAGTAAAGGGGAAAAAATGAGAAATACTTGGAAATGGGAAGAATCAGCTTCTAAATTTTAATAAAGATATAATTCTAAATCTTCCCATCTTGGTTCAGATTTTTGAAAAAGTTGTCTATGCTAAATGCCTATATTTCTTTTCCTCTGATATTTTAACATGTAATCTGTTTTTTTACCTAAACATTCAACTGAAATTAATCAACTCTACCAGCTTCAGCTTCCCCCATAGTGGGGATTACAAGTATGCTCAACTATGCCCAGCTACTCTCTAGATTTTCATTATACTCTTTTCCACTGATTCTGCCTCTACCTATAGTGATACTCATTAACCTTTGCTGGTTCTATATCCATGTCAGACCCACTAAATATGATATATCCTAAATCTCTGAACTGTATCGTCTTCTCTTTTCCTTGTATAGTACCATCATACTCTCACGGAGTCAGTTATCATTTCAATGAAGATCATTCCCAAATACACACATATGTATTTGTGTATATGTATATGTATGTGTATGTATGTATGTGTATTTATACACGTAGCCATACATAGATACACATACACACGTACATAATATATACACACGTATATAATATATACTACATATATATGCATCTAGCAATGTACATAGACTTAAACTCTATTGATATATATATATATACACATATATACACATACACACATATATATGCATATAGGTGTGCATTTGTCTGTATGTATGTGTACAACTGTGTATAAACACACATACACACACACACATATATATATGTGTATCAATCTATTTATCTGTCTACACACATATTTTTAATCCCTCTACTGAGCTATAGTCCAATATTATGAATTGCCTTTAGGACATCTTGACTGAGTACCCCATAAGTATGTTAAACTCACCATTTCTGTATTTGTACTCAATATATTTCCCCTCAAATCTTTTTCTGTTCCTACCTTCTCCATTATGTAGAGGCTATTATTCCATCCCCTGCTCCAGTCCCCCAGGCTCATAACCTTTTCACTTGTTTTCAATCTCTCTGTCTTTACCAGCTTATTTCCTACTTTGTTCATATAATGAGAAGACAGGACTCATTGAAAAAGACACTGATGTTGGGAAAAATTGAAGGCAAAAAGAGAAGGGGATGGTAGAGGATGAGATTTATAAATAGCGTCATGGAAATAATAAACATGAACTTGGGCAAACTTAAAGAAATAGTAGAGAATAGAAGGGCCTGGCATTCTGTGGTCTATGGGGTCACAAAGATTCAAACACTAATGCTTAACTCAATAACAGCAACAACAAAACAAAAATACCCATTTCTCCCCTTTCTTGAAAAATTCCCTAATTGATCATCCCAGCCCTACTAACTATTGTGCTATTGCTTGTTTGCTCTTTGTAAACAAACTTGAAAACGTCACTTACAATAGGTACTTCCACTTTTCTCTCTTTTCTTAAACATTTATAGTCTGTCTTGATACCATTACACCACAACTTCTCTCTCCAACTTGCTAAAGATCTTTTAGTTGCCATATCCAATGGCTTTGTCTCAATCCTGATTTTTCCTGACTTCTGTGTAGCCTTTCATTCTATTAATCACTGTCTCCTACTTGATATTCTCTTCTCTCTAGGTTTATAGGACACCACTTCGTGTTTTTCTTCCTACCTATTTGACTGCTTATTTAACGTCTCCTTTGGTGGATCTTTCTCCATATCAAGCCTCCACATCAAGAGTTGACCAAATTCTGTCACTGTGGATTCCACTTAATGATTACAACTTCTTATATGCTTAAATGGATGGTCTATGGCAGCTGCTGAAGCTGAAAAATTCATCCACCATAAGTCAATATAGGAATAAGTCACTGAACTTATCTAGGTTTATTCTTGGGCAAGAGACACACAATATCTCTATGAAATTAAATCCTTCAACTTTGCATTCTACTGGCCTATATGTACATTTCTGCAGAGCTGTGATTTCACTAGAATAAGAGACATCTGGTGTAGAGATGACCTCTGTTAATATAAATCAGCTGTTCTATTACAACTCATTAGACACTTGCCTGGACTATATAGAGATTAGGTGACTTGCCCCGGTACATATATTTAATATGTGTGAGAATCAGAATTTAAGCCCAGGGCTCCCTAAACCCAAGACCTGCCATCAAGCAATTATAACAGGATGTCTGTCTTGGAAAGACATAATTTATTTAAATATTTGTAAGAAGGCTAAGCAAATGTATGATCTGATTTTGTTACTATTTCCTCAGATATTCATAAAGACTAATCTTTGTTTCTGAAATCATTTTACTTTGGGATATTAGGTAGACAGAATTAAATTTTTTTAGTCATAGAGGTAAATTAGTAAATGCTTGTGTTTCAAAAGAAGCAGATCTTTATTGTCTAAAGAATTCTAATTAAAAATAGGAAGCCAACTCCATTTTAAAAGAAATTGAGTATCAATTATGTATATGATTGTGAAAATGCAATGTCAATATAGTTATGTGCACATTTTTAATAGAGCTATTTTCCTAAGTTATTAAGAATGTGGTTTACAAAACTACATGTTAAAATAAGAGAAATGCTGGTCTGAAAAAAAAATTTCTATATGAATCTTTGCTCTTTTTTTGTTTGTAGAGGAAGGTGATAAAAAAAATCAGACTCATAACTAAAAATGAAAATCCCTGGAAATGGTAGAAATCAATGTTTTTTGTGAGATGAGTGAATATATGAAAACCTATTTTGCATATCCATAATACTTAAATAGAAACTATATAATGAAATTATTTTTTCCAGAAAAATGATATTTTCCCTGGGCTTTTACATATATAACAGAAAATGGCATTCATTTTTTTCTCTACTGTGCCTTATATATCTTCGAATTCAGAGACCTTTGGGATTTTGTAAGGTAGGGTTTTATGTGACATTAGAACACAATGTTTAGAGATCACTTAAGAATATAGAGAGAATGTATATTTCATTTCAGGTGATTGCCAGATATGTAAAATTTGTGAGGAGTCACTTTGCATTTAAAAGCAAATACTAAAAGGGGTGAAAGAAGATGCCTATGTGAATGACTTGTCTAGAAAAAGAGGATAAGATTCTTAAGAACTTAATACTTAGCTAAGTGTAGTATAATGTCCCAGAGTAATTATATGAGAATGAAAAATCTCTTTCCAATCACTTCACTACAAGAAAGGAACTAGTACTATCAAATGCTCCTACTTATCTTTCAAATATCCCCACATTGACTGTGAATTTATAAAAGCATTAATGCTCTTTTCTCAGCATAATTAGATCCACTGAAGAAATCTCCTTCTCAATAAAGCCAACTCCCACTTACAATCATGATGGAAAACCCTCTGAGTGATTTATTGGAAACTTCATCTTATCTGTAGCACATGCAAAGTAGACAGAATTTGCTGTATTCAGCAAAATTTTCTATTGAACTCTATGGTCAATGACAAGTTTTTATGGATGTTCAGACTGATACTTATATGGATTATTTTAACTTTTCAAAATTAATTTGGAATTTAGAGAACTAATGGAACAAGAAGCTAAATACCTCATGTGTCACCTACAGGGAAACTGAGGTGCTGAATATTTTTAAACTGTATTTGAATACAATAACATTACTGACTTTTTTTAAAACCAGTTTTGTGATTTTCCTGGTACAGGGAACTATTGGTTAGGAAATTCCCTCTACCCATACAGACCAGCTCCTACTCTCCTACTTAGTGTTTTAGTGTGTTGTACTGGGCACTTAGAAGTGAAGAGGTCTACCTAAGTCTATTCAGTCAGTATGTGTCATAGGAGGGACTTGAATCCAGGTCTTCCTGACTCCATGGCTAGCTCTCTACTTCCTGGCCCAACTTTGTCTTGGGAATCATAGCATTATTCCTGTGAAAGTTAATCTTAGATAGTTACTCTTTCAGAATGGTCATTCACCAAACTATGAGTTTGCTTATATATCTCTTCAACTTTTCCAGAAGGATATTGAGGGACTTAATCAAATGCTTTTTTGAAACAATCCACAACTTTTCTGTAATCTATAACCCGTATAGTACAATATTATTTTTTTAAAGTAAAGGAGGTTTTTTGACTTGACCTGATGTGTTACTTGTGAACTGCTCTTGGTTCTTGGGGGTCATGGGTTCCTTTTATAAATGCTTACAAGCCATAGGCTTAATAATATGTTCTAGAGTTTCCCGCCCCACCCCCCGGGATTAGAAACAGGCTCACTTCTTTATACTTTGTAAAAATCTGCCTTTTTCCCTCTTTCAGAAAATTGGCAGACCATTTGCTGATTTCTGGTCTTATAGCTCTTCAATTTTCTATAAAATTTCTAAGATGAATAACAACAATTCAATGTTCTTATGTCAATATTTTTTAAAATACAGTTTGCTATGATTCTGCGACTGGAAACTTGATATCTTAGTGGATTTATGATTTCATCAATGTTCTTACACTCTCCACCAATGCAGATTGCCACTCCCACAGCAGCTATTTCAGGGGAAGAGCTTAGCCTCTGATTTCTTTTGACAGTGTGCAAACCTGGATTCTTCAAAGCCTCACCTCAGAGCCAGAGCTGCAGCAAGTGTCCACCTCACAGTTATACCCATGAAGAAGCTTCGACCTCTTGTATCTGTGAAAAGGACTATTTCAGGAGGGAGTCTGACCCACCTTCAATGGCATGTACAAGTAAGGAAACCCTGTGTCTCTTCAATGATGCTACTCTCACATTGTGCCAATCTGAAGGAGTGGCATGATAGAAATAAAACAATAATCTTGCATGCTTCTTTTTCTCTTCAGTGGCCACAGTGTTTGCTCACCTAGCCACATGAACGTCCTCTGAAGCACTCATAAAGGCTACCTTCACTAATATAACACTAGTAGAATCATATAAATATTCCTAAAGTTAGACTTTAAAAACAATTTTAGGTGACAACTCTTTCACTTGGCTTTATGATTGAATTATGATACTCATGATTATTGCATTAATGACTGAGTTCCCTTCCTGTCTGTTCATATAGACTATGTGCTGTATTCAAATCCTCAATCTTCCAACTCCCTTAAATATAGCTTCCTTTTCCACAAAGGAGACAGTCATGCTTCTACCTGTCCCTCTGATTTGCAAAGAACAATTTGAAGAAGAGCAGTTTAGTTATGTATACTCCTTCTTCAAACCTAAAAAGTTCATTTAGCAGCTCAGATATCAGAGTCAAAAACTAACCCAGCTTTTCAATGTAGGGTTAAAGACTTTTGTCAAAGACCATGTCAATGAATATCCTTAAATGTAGTTTCTTATTAGTCTGTGATCTCACAATGCTTTGTTTATCATCCTAAACATGAGCTATAGCTGTAAAAGTTCTCTTTGAGCTACAAAGCTGCACTGGCAACACCCATATTGATCATTGTTCCTATTCATCTCCCTGTGGAATCTGACATACTGCCACCACAATTCTTCAGTTCTATAGATGATATAGACAAACTTAAGTCATTACTGAAAAGCATATTCACAGGTCTGTTGCAAATAGAAATTTTAATGAAAATCTAACAAAAAAAGGAACATAAAAGAAAGTTCAAATCAATGGCTGCTTCTTTGGCCCCAAGTCCCCTTCCATTTAGCCCACTGACTATTTCTCAATCGTTTCTTGTTATATTTTATTCCTTAACCTAGTGAGTATTTGTCTTCATAGCAGGGATCACTATTGGTAAATCTTGACCCTAAAAACAGATAGATCTGTCTCAGAAAAGCAATGTCCAGAATATCACAAAGTGATATTTCACCTGAAATTGTTCCCTTCTTCCTAGTTTCCAAAGATTTGTTAGAATACATTTTCAGGATTCTTCAGATAGCCCTTATTAAGTATCTTCATACTGAAGCTCTTGCTGATCCCCTCTGAGGATGCTGATTTTATGAGTTAGAGGATCATTCACTTCAAAGCATTGCCATTGAAATAGAAGTCTTTAAGCCTTTGAGAAGAGCAGCTGAATCTTCTGAACAAAACCCCACTGGTGCCTTTAAGTAATTTATGCTTTGTCTAAGAAAGAAAAAAAAATCTTCATTTTTTTATTTAAAAGCCACAAAAATAGTGGATATGGTCAATTATTAGCTGCTTTCAACTATTAGAAAATAAATATGTACTGTGTGAATACATCTAAAAGGAACACATTCTTGTTGTTTTAATTGGTTAACGGTTCCTTCTTTTTTTTTTTTTTTTTTTTTTTTTTTTTTTTTTTTTTTTTTTTT